ATAATGTTAAGTGAACTAATTAGGTCCCATAAGGACAAATATTGTATGTAAGACCATTACTGTGGAACGAGTAAGAGGATCCAAGGCAGGGGGGAGGGTGGGAGCAGAGGGCTGAGGGTGGAGGGGCGGTGATAGTCAGTCATAGGGTCGCACAATTTGATGGGTTGAGGGAGGTGGGGATGAAGAAAATGGGAAAGATCTGGTGTGGAAAAACAATATATACAGACTTTGTAAATAAACCAGTATAAAAATTTTTAAACAAGAATTTTAAAAAACCAACTCAACGTCTAAAAATCACATGGACTCTTGGAAGTATTCTTTAATTAAAAATATAATTTATGAAATGCAAAAAAAATAATTTAAGAAAGTATATGGTTTACATTTTATATAAAGAACCAGTAGAATGATTTCCTATTAAATTAGAATAACTATGTTAAGAGAGAAGTGTAATGAAACAAAATAGAAATAACCTGTTAAAGATGATGCTCACATTATAGTGTTGCAGAATTGAAAATGGAAGCAATTTATAGAGAGAACCCTTTAGCTATAATTTTCAGAAGGAAAAGTAAGTTAAAATAAATTTTTATATGAGAATAGGAAACACATATCATATCAAATGAGCTAATATGTGCTTCCAGAAAAAAAGTGAAAAGAACAGAAATGCTCATTAACAGATTTGTCTAAATACAGTCTTGAATATGAAAATCAAGGAAATTCTTCTGATTTTAATCCAGAGAATAGAAGAAAGATGTTTCCTCATGCTTTATTGAGTATGCAAAGATTTTTGACTATTTGACTATGTGTTGTTGTTGTTATGTGCCGTCAAGTCGCTTGCAAACATAGCGACCTTATGTACAGCAGCCCTAAACCCTGCTCTATCCTGTGCCAATCACACTGCCTCTGATACACCCATCCTGATTACCCCAGTCACTGAATCAATCCACCTCATAGAGGGTCTTCCCCTCCTGCACTGTCCCTCCACCCTCCCTCTCCAACGACCTGTCCCTCCTTACAATATGTCCAAAGTATGCAAGACAAAGCCCCAGAATCCTTGCCTCCAAGGAGTAGTCTGGTTTAACCCTCTCCAAGATGAATCTGTTTGTTTTCTTGGTAGTCCTTGGTATATTCTATACTCTTTTCCAGCACCACAGCTCAAAGGCATCAATTCTCCTTCTATCATCCCTAGTCATTGTCCAACTCTCTGATGCATAACAAGTATAGCAAAGACTATGGCCTGTATCAGACACACCTTAGTCTCCAGAGAGACACCGTTGCTCTTGAGTACTTTAGAGAGGTCCCTAACAGCAGACTTTTCCATTGCAATACATTTTTTTTTATTTCCTGACTGCTGGTGCCAAGAGTGTTGACTGTGGAGCCGAGCAAACTGAAGCTGTGAACACTCTCAATCTCTTCGCCATCTATCCTGATGCTGCCAATTGGTCCAGTGGTGAGAATCTTTGTCTTCTTGACATTGCAGATCAGTCCATACTGAAGGCTGCAGTCCTTGACCCTTCGCAGCAAGTGCATGAGGTCCTCCTCAGTTTCAGCAAGCAGGGTTGTGTCATCTGCATAATAGAGATTGTTAATAGATCTTCCACCAATCCTGACGCCACACTTCTCCTCATAGAGCCCAGCCTCTCGGATAATCTGCTCTGCATACAGGTTGAAAATGTATGGAGATATGACACATTCCTGGCATACACCCTTCCCAATTTTGAACCATGCAGTGTTACCCTGCTCTGTACTGACGACTGTCTCTTGGTCCAAGTATAGGTTTCCCATTAACACTATTGAATGTTCTGGGGTTCCCATTCTTCTCAGAGCCAGCCACAGTTTGTTATGATCCACACAGTCAAACTCCTTTGCATAATCAATGAAACACAGAGAGACATTCTTCTGGTATTCCTTGCTTTCTGCTAAGATCCATCTAACATCAGCTACAATATCCCTAGTACCAAGACCCCTTCCAAACCCAGCCTGGACTTCTGGCAGTTCTCTGCTGATGTGCTGTTCCAGTCGTTTTTGGTTAATTTTCAGTAGAATCTTACTTGCATGTGAAATCAATGATATTGTTCTGTAGTTTCCACACTCTGTTGGGTCACCCTTCTTTGGAATGGGAACAAATATACATCTCTTCCAGTCAGTTGGCCAAGTGGTTGTTCTCCAGATTTCTTGGCACAACTTGGTGAGCACATCCAGGGAAATGTCTGTTAGCTGAAATATGTCAATTTGTATTCCATCTATTCCTGCGGTGTTATTTTTTGCTATTTCCTTCTGAGTAGCTTGAACTTCTTCCTTCATCACCATAGGCTCTTGCTCAAATGTTATTTCATTAAATTCTTTATCTGCCAATTCCTTCCGATACAATGACTCAGTATATTCTTTCCATCCTTTTTTAATACTTCCTGGATCATTTAATATTCTGCCTGAAGCATCCTTGATTATAGCGACTCGAGGTTTGAATTTGTTCTTCAGTTCCTTGAGCTTAAGAAATGCTGAACGAGTTTGTCCCTTTTGATTTTCCAACTCTAGCTCCTTGCACATTTCGTTGTAATATTTTGCTTTGTCATCCCGTGCTGCTTTTTGGAATCTTCTGTTCAGCTCTTTAGTATCTTGAATTCTTCCTTATGCTTTGGCTTCTCTATGCTCCATTGCAATCTTCAGAGTTTCTTCTGACATCCATTTTGGTCTTTTCTTCCTCTTCTGTCTTTGTAAAGACCATTGGCACTCTTCCTGGATGATACATTTGACATCCTCCCACAACTCATCTGGTCTTCTCTCATTAGTGTTCAAGGCCTCAAACCTGTTCCTGAGATGATTTTGAAATTCAGGTGGGATGAACTCAAAGTCATATTTTGGGTCCTGTGGATTCGGTTTAATTTTCTTCAGCTTCAGCTTGGTCTTGCATATGAGTAGTTGGTGGTCTGTTCCACAATCAGCTCCTGGCCTAGTTTTCACAGCTGATATTGAGCTTCTCCAGCGTTTTTTTCAGCAGATGTAATCGATCTGATTCCTATGCATACCATCAGGTGAAATCCATGTGTATAACCTGCGTTTATGTTTCTTATAAAACGTATTTGCAATGAGTAAGTCATTAACTGTACAAAATTCAATCATTCCATCTCCAGCTTCATTTCTGTCACCAAGTCCATGTTTTCCAACTACTGATTCTTCTTCTCTGTTCCCAACTTTTGCGTTCCAGTATCCTAGCAAATGATTAACAACACTGAGAAGAATGGGAATTCTAGAGTATTTAACTGTGCTCATGTAAAACCTGTTACCTAGACCAGCAAGCAGTCATTCAATAAACATGTGAATTCTGCATCATTTAAAATCAGAAAGTTGTGCATCAATCTTTTCTCCATACCTCTTGAATTTGTTAGTTTAAGCATCTCCTTCTCACCTGCTCATTGTGCCTACATACTGGTGTGGCTGCAGTCATACTAGCAGTGGTAGAAGGACATCATGTTTAGGAAGGTGGAGGGAAGGGAGAAGACCCTCAGCCAGGTAGAGTGACACAGTGACTGCAGCAATGGGCTCAAGTGTGTCAGACATTGTGCAGATGACACAGACTAGGACAGGGCTCTGATCTGCTGTTGAAAGGATCACAATAAGTTGTAGCTGGCTCGATAATACCGAACAACAAAAACAACAAACAGAAATGGGAAGAGCTCTGGTGGCACAATCTGTAGGGAGTTTCACTGTTAACCCAAGAAACTTGTCTTGGGTTAACCCAAGAATACTTGTCTGCCAATTCAAATCTATCAGAAGCTCTGAGGGCGAAAGATGAGAAATCTCCTCCCTTGCAATTTGCAGCCTCAGAAACCCAGTGGAGGGTCAGCTATGAGTGGGTTCCAATTCGACAGCAACAAAAGAGAAAGTAGAGGTGGTGAAAGGGTAGATAAAGTTGATGAATCAGGCAGAGTCCCAGCAAGAAACAGACATACACACAGATTTGAGTCCTAAACTAATTTAATGACATTTTTAATAATGGAGCTGTGAATGACGTTTAGGAAATAAAATGGATGTTGAATATATAACAAATATGTTTGAGAATAACATATTTAATTGATAAAACTATTGACCTGAAAGGAAAAGAAGTGAAAAAATTGTTACTGGAAAACTGTAATATCTGGCACTGTAGAGACAGAATTCCCCAGTAAGTGCTATAAAAAAAATAAAACATATCTATAAGAACTCTAATATTGACGAAGTCTGTGAGTAGAAAATAAATACTTCAAACTCTCCTCTTGCACTCTAATTTTTTTTTCAGTGTGCCTCCCATGTTGACTTAGTCCAAGTGAATGTCATTATTCAGAGGAGTCTGGGTCACACATACATGTGAGTCAGTGCTCCAGGCTCCATATCAGTGCAGAAAGGGTAGAGGAAAGATCTAGGCCAGCAAATAAAGCAAGACATGTCTTCACAGTTACTCATGTCTTTTGAGTTCTGCTTGTTTATGTTGAAGCATTTCTCCTAATTCTACCCAGATCCTCATCACAGCTTCTTTGAACTCTGTTCATTTGAAATGTTTCCTATTCCCCTGTCTTTGCATTCCATGTTACTGGACTAATGCTGTTTAGGCAATCTGATTTCTTTCTTTGTGTGTATACTTATGAGTGAGCAAACATGAGCTGTAACTCATATCACAATTATTTCTTTAGTTGTGCGGATAGGTGTGCATGCATGTGTATGTATATACATTTTTATATTCAATTTTGTTTTTAGGGGGTGGATATCAAACATTAGTTATGACTTTTCATTCGCTTTCATTAAATGGTAGAAGATTCTTTCATGTTCTCAACTGCATTTAGTTCTTGTCTGTATTTTTCAGTTACAGGGATGCTTTTTTTCCCTTTCAGATGTTTCTCAATCGTTTATTTTTAAAATGTAAAATTTTATCTCAAAGATGTTTACTTACTCCTTACATCCTCACTGAAGTTCTGCTATCTACTTTACGAGACTCTGCAGTGTGTATGCCAAAGGCAGTCCCTAGAGTTTTACTTCTTCTCTGGGCTTAAACGAAGCACTCTTCTGAAACTTGCCCTTAGCTCTTTCGTCCTAAGTGCATAGACCATCGGGTTTAGGGCAGGGGGGATGATGTTGTGTAGCACATTGAGTAGAACTGGAATCAGAGTGGCTTTAGTCTCTGCCAGGTGAGTTACTGAAACCACAACAACAACGGTGTAGAAGAAGAGGATGAGGATGAGATGGGAACTACAAGTGCTTAAGGCTTTGGATGCAGCTTCAACTGAGTTTAGTTTAAGTACAGAGCGCAGAATCAACGTGTATGATAATATAATAAGACTGAGATCACTTCCCATGCCAAGCCATGCCAGAACTAATTGGCAAATGCTATTTGGTCTCCTGTCATCACAAGCTAGGCTTGTGACCCCAAGATTGGAACACAGACAATGATCAATCTCATTCCTGAAACAGTAATTTCTCTGAGCTGCAAGTACGGGCACTGGGATAACAAACAAGCCATTTCTAAGCACCATGAATGTGGTAGCTTTTACAATGAAGGCATTTGTGACAATTGATGGGTAACGAAGAGGATGGCAAATAGCTACATAGCGATCAAAAGCCATGCAAAGAAAGATACCAGATTCCATTCCAACGAAGCAGTGAATAGCATAAATCTGAGCAAAGCACTCAGGGAGGCTAATGACCTTGGCATTAAACCAGAAGATAGCCAGAATCTTGGGCATAATGGTAGTGGCGAGGCCCATGTCCACAACAGAGAGGATGCCTAGAAAATAGTACATAGGCTGCTGCAGAGTAGAGTCCTGGTAGATGGTGATGAGGATTAGGATGTTAGCACCAATAGCTGAGAGGTACAGTAGTGCCAAGGGCAAGGAGAGCCAATGTTGCCAACTGTGAATGCCTGGAAACCCCAACAGGATGAACTCAGAGACCTGGAATTTGGAGTTGTTGGACATTTTTAAAGCTGAAGACATTCTTCAAGGGGGAAAAAAAAAAATTAATTGTTGCCTCTGAGCACAAGCATTGCTTTTAAAACCAGATTTACTAGGGGAGCTCTGGTGGCCTAGTGGCAAGGAGCTGCAACTACAATCCCAGAGGCGAACGGTTCGAATCCACCAGATGCTCTGCCGAGTAAGGAGGGACAATCTCCTCCTGTACCAGTCAGATCTGATTTGACAGTACACGCACACACACACACACAAAAAAAAATTAAAAAAAAAAATTTTTTAAAAACCCAAAAACCCAGATCTACTTAGTATAAATTTGTACCACAACAAAATTCTATAGTGTATCTCCTATAATAAGATACTTGAAAGAAGAGCTAGGAATTTGCTATCAGAAGATACATTTTAGTCATTATCCATTTTTACTATGAAGGAAAATTTCAGCCTGACTTTCAAATATCTATTGTTCTCAGTTACCAGATTAGGTCCAAGGCATAAAAATGATTCTACTTTTCCCCCCTTAACTCTTTCTTTAGTTTCTTGACAAATATCATGGAGAAATTAGATGTATTTGTTTTCTTCATGTTCTTCTCAATCTTGCTTGACTCAGATTTTTATCAATGTTATATCTAGATTTTTTTAAAGACAGAATTACTGAAGATTTAATTTTGTAGCTGCACCATTTCAAGTTAATACAGATGTTCATTAGTATTTCACACAGCTTTTCCAATAGTTTCATATCACAACTTTAAAAAATGTTTGTTATTGTTACTGACATCCAGGTAATGCATATAATAGCAGTATGAACATAAAGATTGTTGCAGATTAGCCATAGGGTGTTTTTTCCTTTGCTATTTTTTTTTGTGGATTTCTAGGAAGTCTTAAAAGAAAAACTTGAAAGGAAGTATGATCTTGGCTGAATTTGTAAATTCACAGAGTCAAACACTGGAGACATTTTTAATAGATAGTGTATTTTCTTAGACTTAGAGAACCTAGAAAGATACAAAAATATAGAATTTAGGTACAAATATTGCTATTTACCGATCTTATTTAAAAAAGAATCGCATTTGCAAAATTTTAATGTCCATGATATGATCGGAATCATGTTCAATGTTAAACTCTATCTTTCCTCAAATTCTGTTGACTTTCATGTATTTACCTTCCTGTTTAGTGGTCTAACCCGTCACTCAGCCAGCCAATCCTGCCACCAGTAAATGAACCATCCTTTTATGCTTCATAAATAATTGCTTCCTGAACTTGAGAGTTCCTCAGTAGTGCAAATGGTTAAACACTTTATTAATAACCAAATAATTGGTTTTAATGTGTCCAGGTATACCTTAGAGGAAGGGCCTGGTCATCTGCTTCCAAAATCTGCTTTGAAAACTAGATAGCATGTGGTTCTACTTTCCATATATAAGGACGCCATGAGATGGCTCCAAAACAGCTATTTTGGCTTATGGATTTGGTTTCCCATAGTCTATTGATTTGTTTCCTTTACTTAATTTATAAGCATTCATTCTCCTCGGGATGATTACCTCTGATAGAATGAAAAGCTTAAATACCTCTCTTCTTACCTACTTATACTTTTCCCTCCTCCCCGGTGCAGAAAGATGATTTGGGTGAATAGTCTGATTGTTCTAAAACTCATTCTCTTGCTTAAAACCCATTAACATTTTTAAACTATCTGTGAAATGAAATGCAAACCTCCTTATACCCTTTATAGTAGTCTCAGATGTGGTTGGACAATGAATAGGGATGACAGAATAATCAATGCCTTTGAGTTGTGGTGTTGGTGAAGAGTGCTGAATATCCCATGGACTGCCAAAAGAGTGAACAAATTGGTCTTGGAGGAAATGAAACCATGGTGCTCCTTAGAGACAAGGATGGTGAAACTTGATCTCATGTCTATTGGACCTGTTAAAAAAGGGACTAGTCCTTGAGGAAAAAGACAGACATCATGCTTTGTAAGTTGGACAATCAGTGAAAGAGAGAAAGACCCTTGACAAGATGGGTTAACACAGTGACTGTAAGAATGGGCCTAATAAAGCAGAGATGAGATGGCACAGGATAGGGCAAGATTCAGATTTATTGTTCATAGGGTTGATGTAAGTCATTTGTCAACTTGATGGCATCTAACAACAGGTATCGTACAAACCATTTGAGTATTGTCTTTTGGTATAAACCTTGCATTCTATATTTCTTTTTTTTTGTATTCTATATTTCTGATACACATAAATATTATTGTTCTTGAAACAAAATATTTTTGAAGCATTTAATTTTCAATATTTTTGTTATATTAGAAGTTGAGGATTACAAACAAGAAAAAGATATAAAAAGCCTGGAATGTATGTATAAATGTCTTAAAATTCTTTCTAAAAATAAGGATTATTATAAATTTTAATATTTATTAACACATTAGTAATTCCTGATGTATAACTTTTAAATACAGAAAAGTATATTTACAATGTGAAGTTGTCCTTTAATATCATCAACACAATTCTTAGCAACTAAATACATTTTCTTTCAGATAGATTTTTTTTCCCTTCCTCTAAATTACAAATTATAGAGCAATGGTGTGGTTTTTTCCTTCCTCTAAAATGGTACACTAGAAATTACAAATTATAGAGCAATGGTGTGGCATTAAATATCAAAAGAACATATGGAAATCTTTCCTAAAGTACAATGTTGTACATGATGGGATACCATCCATACAAATACAAGGAAGCCCTGTTAATACAACCATTATTAAAATATAGTGAACTGGGGTAATGGGTTTAGGTGTGTCAGAGACAATAAGGTTGGCTCAGGATAGAGCAGGGTTCAGAGTTGTCGTACATAGGGTTGCTATGAGTTGCAGGTGACTTGAAGGCATATAATAACAATAACAATAACAACAACAACAACAAAAACCAAGATAAAGAAGTTGATAACTTCTCCCAACTTCTGCAGTCAGAAATTGATCATTCACTCAAGATGCATTGATAATCATTGGAAACTAGAATGCAGTTTGAAACAAAGAAGAAAGAATGATAGTTGGAAAATCTGGTCTTCGTGACAGAAATGCAAGTGGAAATGGAATAAAAGTGATTTGTACAATAAATTACTTATCCATTGCAAATACTTTTTTTGAAAACCAAACTGAGACTTAAATACATGAACTTAATGGACTACACAAGAATCAGACTGACACATCTGTGGAAAGACATGTTGGAGAAGCTCAATATCAGCTGTGAAAACCAGGCCAAGAGCTAGACTGCCAACTATTTATATGCCAGTTCAAATTGAAGGTAAAAAAAAAAAATGGAAACAAGTCCATGTGAATAAAAATAAGACCCAAAGACCTAAATTACAACTGAATTTTATAACTACCTTAAGAACAGATTTGACACATAACATCACCACTTGTGAAAAAAGTAAAAATCATTACAAAGATAGCAGAGAAAGAAAAGACTAAAATGGATTCCCAAAAGAGACTCTAGAATTTGCATTGGAATGTAAAGAAGCCAATACAAGGGGAGAGAACTGAGGAGGGGAAAATTTTTTTTTCTCTTCAAAGGGCAATTCAAGAAGATAAAGCAAAGTGGTATAAAGAAATGTTCCAGGAGCTTAAGTTAGCAAGCTAAAAGAGAAAAAAACATGCTCAACAGTCCTCAAGCAGAAAGAACAAAAGAACAAATTAAAACTTAGAGTTGTGATGCTGACAGATTCTGTGGGCAGAATCTTGAATGATGCAGGAAACATCAAAAGAAGATGGAAGACATACACAGAATCATGATGTCAAAGAGAACTGATTGAACTGACCAACACAGAATCATTTTAGGAAGTAGCAAATAATCAAGAACAAATAGTACAGAGGGGAAAAGTCTAAGGTGCACTGAAGGCATTGGCAAAAAAGTCCTATGAACTAACAGGATACCATTTTAAGTGTTTTAACAGATGCACCCCTGGATGTGCTCACTTGCCTATGCAAGAATATCTGGAAGGCAGCTACTTGGCCAGCTAACTGGAAGAGATCTGTATGTGTTCCAATTTCTGAAAGAGGTAATCCAACACAGCACAGAAATTATAACGGTAAACAATATCATTAATATCACATGCAAATAAAATCTTGCTGAACATTGCTCAAAAGTGACTGGAACAGTACACCCATGAGGAACCTTCAGAGATTCAAGCTTCATTCAGAAGAGACTGCAGTACAAGGGATATTTTTGCTGATGTTAGATGGATCTTGGCTGAAAGCAGAGAATATCAGATGTTTACTTGTGTTTTATTGATTAGGTAAAAGCATCTGACTAGGTGGATCATAACATATAATGACTAACATTGATAAGAATTGGAATTGCAGAACATTTCTTCATGCTGATGTGTAGCATGTGCGTAGACTAAGAAACTGTATGAGAACAGAACAAGGGAACAGTGCATACATTAAAATGAGGAAAAGTGTGCCTCAAAGTTGTATCTTTTCTCCATACCTATCAATCTGTACGCCGAGCAAAACTTTCTGGAAGCTGGACTGTATGAAGAGGAGGAAAATTAATCAACAACCTGTGTCATGCAGATGATACAACCTTGCTTACAGAGAGCAAAGACTTGAAGCACATATTAATGGAGACCAAACACTAGAGTCTTCAATATAGATTACATCTCAACACCAAGAGAACAATAATTCTCATGACTAGACCAATAGGTAAAATCATGATAGAGAAATTGAAGTTGTCAGTGATTTCATTGTACTTGGATCTATAATCAACTCATGATAACAGCAGTCAAGAATTCATAAGAAGGGTGGCATTGTGGAAGTCTTCTGCCAAAGACCTCTACAGAGTTGTAAAGAGCAATGATGTCGTTTTAAAGACTAAAGTGCACCCCATCCAAGCCATGATATTTTTTTAATTGCTTCATATAATTCTGAAAGTTGAGCAGTGTACAAGGATGACAGGAGAGAATTGAAGTCTTTGAACATATCATAGACTGCTAAAAGAATGATGGGAAAATGATGAAACTTCTTCATCTTACTTACTTTGGGGATA